AGGGCCTTTACCAGAAATAAGAGTCTGGGCTCCATATTTAAGTTAATCAATTTCTTCCATAAGGTAGTTCTATTTATGGAGTCAAAAGCTGCGGTTAGATCTATAAAAGCAGTGAACAGTTAATTGCCTCTAGCCAGTTGTTTTGTAATAAGGTGATATAAGATAAAACAATGATCTAATGTAGAGCGATCTGGTCTAGAACCAGTTTGTTCCTCTGCAAGGAGGTTTGTCCTAATTACCCAATCCTCTATTTTGCCCAAGAGGTGTTTAGCATACATTTTCGCTACAATTCCGATGAGACTTTTTGGTCTATAATTTTGAGGATCAGATCTGTCTCCCTTTTTGTGTATAGGGACGACGATTGCAACTTCCCACCCTACTGGAATAAATCCTGTATTGTTTATGTAGGAAAACAGACCTGCAAGTAATGGGGCCCACCAGTCAATATGAGTTTTAAAGAGTTCTAGAGGTAAAAAATCCTCTCCTAGGGCTTTATTAGGTTTCAAGGATTGGATAATAGATTTAACTTCAGCTACTGACACAGGGGCAGTAAATTACTAGGTTTGATAGCATTTACCTGAGTTCTCAAAAAACTCAGATGCGAAATTACTGACAATCTAGCAAAATATGTAACTTACTCAAATCAGCTCACTGCCAGAGGACTGGAAGGTAGTTAATTTTTAAAACGGGATCTGGAAAATTATAGGCCAATGAGTATAACATTTGTTTTAGGCAAATTGATAGAAACAGTAATCAAAGAAAAAATATAATAACTAGGCAGGTAGAGGAAAAAGCCATGCTAAAGGAAAAGCAGCATGGATTCTGTAAAGGTAAATCTTTTTTTTTTTTTAAGGTAAATCTTGATTCACTACCATTTGAGAGTGTGGGCAGGCACATGGATAGATAGGATTCTGATAACTTGTATACTTTGATTTTCAAAAAAGTCTTTGACAGTCAAAGGCTGTTAAGGAAACTGTAGCTGTGGAATAACAGGCTCTTCTTTTTATAGAAGTTAATTAGTCAAAATAGAAAGCAAAGTGTGGGAATAAATGGGCAATTTTCTTAATAGAGGGAACTAAGAAGTAAAGTCCCAGAAAGATTTGTGTTGAAACCACTACTACTGTATATAACGTTCTCTTAAACAATTTTGATTTATGCAGTGAACTGTCCACATTTGTGAATGATACTAACCTATTCTAGAAGGTTAAAAACCATAAATAAAGACCAAAAAAAACCCCACAACCCTTTAAACTGGTTCACTGGCCAAATACAATTCAAGTAAGTATAACATATCTGGACTAAACAAAAAACAAGCCTAACTTCACATACACATTGTTGGGGTATGAAATATCTTGTCAGGTTCAGCCCAAAGAACTCCACGAGACAGTACGGATACAGTTCTATTGCATTTATTAGCTTCCACCTACAGGACCGAGTACTGTCTCGTGGAGTTCTTTGGGCTGAACCTGACATCAGTCTCACCAGACTGAATCTAAACTTCCCAAGCCAGCAAGCAAACACTGCAAATTCCTTAGGGCGGTGCCAGTCTCAACCTCTTCACCTTCCCATGCTTATTCTGGGGGCTAAGGAAATGCTTATCTCCCCGAGCGCGGCCTTCACCAAACACATATCAACAGTATAACACCATGGGCGGCACAGTGCTGTGTTGATTTGCCTCCTTTCTCAAGTGTCGATTCCAGTCAGTGATGATTGAGGAGGAGAGGTTGCACCTCGGCCCTTGGCCCCTACAACACCACAGGGTTCAGTGCTCTCCCCTCTCCTATTTAATACATGAGACCGCTGGGTGAGCTCATCCATTGCCACAGGGTGAAGTATAATCAGTACGCTGATGACACCCAACTGTACATCTCTGCCCCTGGCGAATTAAGTGATGCTGTGGACACCTTATCTCGGTGCCTGGAGGCTGTGAGGGTCTGGATGGGGAACAACAGACTTCAACTGAATCCTGGCAAGACTGAGTGGCTTTGGGTTTGAGGTCCTGCTGGTTCTGGGACGATACCATCTTTGGTGCTGGATGGGGTGGCACTGCCCCAGACAGCCCCAGTGTGCAATGTGGGGGTCCTCCTAGACTTGCAATTCCTGCTCAAAGAGCAGGTGATAGTTGTGGCTAGGAGGGCCTTTGCACAGCTTCATGTTGTGCGCCTGTTGCACCTCTTCCTGGATCAGGAGGCTCTGCTTATAGTCATTCATGCCCTAGTCACCTCCAGACTGGATTACTGTAATGCTCTCTACATGGGGCTGCCCTTGAAGAGTATCTGGAAGCTTCAACTGGTGCAGAATGTGGCAGTGTGGGCAGCTGTGTACTCCTAGAAGAGCACATATTACACCTTTGCTTCACAAGTTGCATTGGCTGCCAGTTTGCTTCCAAGTCCAATTCAAGGTGCTGGTTTTGGCCTTTAAAGCCCTTCATGGCATGGGGCCGGGTTATCTGAGGGACCACCTCTCTCCGATTACATCAGCCCATCCCATTAGATCCAGCAGGGAAGGTATGCTATACGTCCCATCAGCCAGGGACTTGCATCTAATGGGTCCCAGCAGGCAGGCCTTCTCCGCTGTGGCTCCCTCCTTGTGGAACATTCTCCCTCCTGAAGTGAGGCTCAACCATTCCCTGCTGTCATTAAGGAAGTCCCTCAAGATCTGGCTATGTCATCAGGCCTGGGGGTCTTTGGGAACTGGAGATATTCTTAGATGGCTCCACTGTAATTGATATTGTGATCTCTCTGTGGGGTTTGTATATTTTAACATTTAAAATTTTTTGATAATGTTTTCATTTTAATAATCACTTATCTTTTTATAATGATTGTTTTTATCCATTTATTATTTTATTTAATTGTTGTACGCCACCCAGAGTCACTTTGTGTGAGACGGGCAGCTATATAAATGTGACGTATAAATAAAAAAAATAATAAAATAACTAATCAAGAGAAAATATCTTGCAGACCTAATGGATAGTAAAATAAAGACTACGACTCAGCATGTTGTAGCTATGAAAAAGTCAATCTCCATGCTAGGAATTATTAAAAAAGGGATTGAAAAAAAAATGCCAACATTGTAATGCCCTTAAAAAATCTGTGGTACCTCTGCATCTGTAATATGATGGACAGTTGTGGCCACATTTGAAAAAAAGTATGCCCCAGCTGGAAAAGTGCAGGCCAGGGAACCAAAATGATCAGGGAGGCTAAACATCTTCCTTACAAGAAAAGGCTAGAATGTTTGGGACTCTGTAGCTTGAAAGGATGACTGAGGGAGGGCATGACTGACATATATATAAAATCATGCATGGCAAGGAGAAAGTAGAGACAGGTTTTTCTCCTTTCAAAATTCTGGGACTGGGTGCCATCCAGTGCAACTGCTTAGAATGATATTTAAAACAGACGAAATGAAGTATTTCTTCACACTGAGCATAACTCACCTGTGGAATTCTTTACCACAAAACATAGTCATGGGTACTAACTTAGATGACTTTAAAAGGGCATTGGATAAATTCACGCAATGGTATGTGGGAATGACCTTGGGAGACAGGGGGAAGAGCTGCAGCCAGAACAATGTTCGGACAAACGGCAGCTTTGCCTGCAGAAGGAATGGGGGTATGGCAAATGTATCAGAAGGGACCCTCCCTAGTTTCTTGGGTTGTAAAGGTGATGGGGGAGAAATGCACTTTCAGACTTGCAAGATTGTGTTAGTGTAACTTTGCAATAGAGTTAGAGCTCGTACTTCTGGGTGTGTTTCTTGGCTGGACTACTCTGCAAAGCTGACAATTCATGGAGGCCCAGTCTGTCAATGACAACTGGCACTGAAGATTCAGTGTTCAGGACTTCAGGCTTCCAAAGGCCCGTTGCAGAGAACAGTGGTGGGAGAGGGCTTACGTTTCTATCTGCTGCTTGGGAGCAGCCCAAAGGTGTCTGGTTAGTTACTATAAGAAACAAAATGCTATACTAAAATGTGCTGTGGGCTAATCCAGCAGGGCTGTTCCGGAATTGAATTTTTCAATTTTGTTTTAATCTTGGCAGGATTGATTATATTCATTTGTGTGAGCATGTATTAAATGTGCTGTTTCTTAATCTATTTGTGTAAATATTTTATTATGTTTTGAAATATTGTATGTCCCTTTCCCCGAAGTAAATTGAAGGGCAGGGCTATCCTCCTAGATGATAAACTTGGAAAATGTCCAGCAATAAAATCACATAGGAAAAACTATGCCTACATTATTTAATCATTTAGATATGTGAATATAACTAAACATTTAATAATGGTTGAATTGCAAAGCCCAGTCCATCAGGAGTTATCCACTTCTAGCCTTAGGCTGGAGAAGACCAAGCTTTAATAAATACAAAACATGAAACTCCTGCTATATTTATTTGTCTTTTCAGGACCATGACAGATTTGTATGAAGATAGTAACTGGTCAAATAAAGATCTTGGGGAAATCATTATGCGAGCTCGGAAGCAAGCAGCCAAATCTAAGATGAAGGCCTTTTCCTTGGAAAGCCTGAAGGCTTACCACAAGGAGCTGTGTCAGCGGACCGTTGCAGGATATAAGTCTTCTTTTATAGATCTCTGGGGACTCATGATTGAAGCCATGCTACATGATGGGGTAATCTATATGCAAAAGGGCTTTTTCTGCCTCTCCATTTATGGTGTTCCTCTGCTGCTTTTCAGCTTCTGAAAAGTGAAGGGAGAGGCTTCTGAATGGTGTCCTCTAATGAACGCACTTTCTCATTTAGTTCAGCAAGATTTATACTGTAGATAAAATAACAGCTGCTCCTTTCAACTTTGTCCTCTGCTATTAAGATAATTGGGCTATTCCTAGAATTCTTTGTTGTAAGGTGAGTAAGCATGGAGGAAACCATAGTCAAATGAAAATCAGAAGTCATGGGGAAAAGGTGTGGGAGGAGGGAGAAATAAAAAAAAGTGATGATATTCCTGATACATTTTGAAAATGTGTCTTTCATGGGTATCTATTAAAAGGGCAATTTATGAATTCTAAAAATACCATATTACAAAATGAAATAGTCTAAAATATTCTTGTGTCTAGCAGGACTTTGTAAAGCTTTGATTGGAAATTAAATTCAAAGGCAGCATGAGGAATCTCTGAACTGAAACAACTTTCTAAATCAAACAATAACACACAGTAGATTACTGAAGTGAATTAGATTTCAATAGAAGAGATTATATGTAGCTCAGGTTTCATTACCCAACCAGATAACATCATCAGTGCTAGTGAGTGTGGGGTTTACTCCCTGTTTTTATAGCCTTGCCAGTGTTGGTAGGGGTGTTGTTTTCTCCTTGATAGTTCCCTCATTAGGGTATTGTTTTCTGCTTGATTGTTGGTGTTAATCCCTGCTTAATCCCTTAATTAATCCCCTGAATTAGACTTGTAAAATCTTCCTGCACAATGATTGTTGTGCCTATCTACTGTGTCCTCAGTGTATAATGATTAATAGAACTCAAATTCTCCCCCATCCCTACCTCTGGTATTTATTTATGTAGTAAATAATACATTGCCTAATGGATAACATCTGTAGAAATAAACACATAAAAATAATGTAAAGTTACTTACTTTACCTCACCCCAGCAGGGAGCAGCATATAGCCAACCTCAAAAGCTAAGTAAAGTTGGCTATGATTAGCACTTTGACTAGATATCTGCAAAACCCAGCGCTAAAAGTTAGACTGAGGCACTGAAAAAATATTGGTGAAGACAATAGGGGCAACCCACTTTTATTTTAGTGACCACAAGTCAAGCTTTCTTTGAAGGAATCTTTATCTTTGAACACCCTTATTTAGAATATGCTTGCTCCTCATGAGAGCAGAGCAAGAGTGTAAAACGCCATAAATTTCACACATCTGTTCACCAGGGTGTTTATCAATGTCAGGTCTTCACCATCCAGCAAAAGTAGAGAAAGCAGGTGGGCCTTCCTGTTAAGCTGCCACATCTGCCATATCTTCACTGGGGCCATACTTGAAGGTTCCAAACTTTTCAAAGAGCCAGCATTCTGAATTGATAAATAATAAAATCTGTTGATAAGCTCCATCCCACCAGCCTCTCTTTTATCACTTGGCCTGTCATTTGGAACCATCTGAAATGTTCAGACACTTTTCAAAGCCAGCCCATGCAGAATTAGTTATTAGGATAGGCATTAAGGACTGCACTCACAAGATCCTCCTGCTTTCATCTGAATCAGAATGATATACTGTAAGTGTCCAGACATTTATCTACAGACTTTGTGGTTTTGTACATGTCTATGGCACCATGATGCATGGACAAAAGGGACAGGCCTTGTGGAATGATGCCACAGTGGCATCATTTTGCTTTTGTTAGTCAGACCCCCACTTCATCTATGAAAGTCTCCATAAATTATGCCCCTCTGCATGGCTCATTAAGTAATTAAGTTATGCTTTGTTTCTGCATGCATTCATACCTTCTGTTCAAAGGCCTTTCCCTACCCCATCACAGGCTTATTGTGCATCTTGGCAGCATTCTTGCCAAGTTCAGTCGTTACACAGCTTTATTCTCTGTTAGCACTTGTCAAGTAGAGCCACTGCAGCTTCTCATAGTTTAGGGCCTCACCATATCTAAATCTGGCCCTGCTCCTGGGATCAAACAGCATGGTAGTCCATCATGTTTTGGGAGAGATGGTAAACTTGAACTATTCCTACTACTAGAGGATCCAGGGGCTCAAAAATGTCAAGACTGCAGCCAGGACCATTCTTTTATTTATGTGCTTCAATCAGGTGATTGTGGCCACTGTATTGACTTTTCTGACCTCTCTCCTCCCTCCCAGACACCCCAACTACAATCACTACTGCTATGGGTACTACTATTGATTGTGATTATATCCAGCCACATGAGTCCCCAGTCTGGATAAGGTGTTCAGGGAAAGGGGATTAATGTTCTTTGCCCACTTTGGAGTCAACCCTACACAGACACACAGCTGTTATTTTCCATCTCACTTCCCCCCCCCCCAAAATATTCCATTTTCTTTTCCTTCCTTCTCATGCATTTTACCAAGGTTTGGGAAAAATAATGTGGCTGGTGTTTAAGCTGTAATTTGATCCTCAGCTGCTCTATTGAATATGGATATGAGGTCTAAGGGAACAAATCAGCTGTAATTTCTATTTCCCTTAAATTAATCAGATTTTTAATGCATGTGCATGTGTGTGTGTGTGTGTGTGTGTGTGTGTGTATGTATAAAATAATTATTTTTCTCACAAAAACACAGAATAATAATCATAAACTCTCAGAGCAACAACAGGCATTGAACAGAGGTCAGAACCCTTTGCCAATCTACCTGGCACTCAACGTGAAAGACAACATCGCCACAAAAGATTTTAGAACAGAGGTCAGAACCCTTTGCCAATCTACCTGGCACTCAACGTGAAAGACAACATCGCCACAAAAGATTTTAGAACAGAGGTCAGAACCCTTTGCCAATCTACCTGGCACTCAACGTGAAAGACAACATCGCCACAAAAGATTTTAGAGGTGTGTTCTTTACTGATGGCTTTCATATACAAACATTTTAACCTACAGCATTTGCAATCTATATGATCAAAGCAGGTAGCAACCCTTAGCCGATCACAAGAAAAGCTAAGTAGGGATGGACCTGTTCAGTCTTCAGATGGGAGTGCATGAGGAAATCCTAGGACTATAGGCTAGATTGGGAAGTTGAAAAAAACCATCTAGGAGGAAGGCAACGGCAACTCACTTCAGTGTTGTGCCAAAACACCACATGGGTATGTCCACCTAGCCACCACGAATTGAGGACTTTTTATCCTTATGCATACAGCACCTCAATCTCAATATTAAAAAGAAGCCATTCATGCTATGATAATCACCGAGGGACCCAATCTCAGCTCAAGTACAAGGTCACTAGTTTATTTTGGGGCATTAGCTTCTTCATGTAATAGTTCTGTATGGTACCATTATGCCAAGAAAGCATTTGGATTCTGCTAGTGCTTTGTTGGTATGAGCTGCCTATTACAAACAATTTCTCAGATTCAGAACAACAAAGATTTGCCTTGGAGATCTAAAGAAACTTGATTCTTAAGTTTTTATTCTCTCTTTGGCAACTTCTCAAAATCTATATATATCAAGCTTTAAAACTATGTTTGTATATGCATATCTGTGTATGTTTGTGTATGTATATATACATCCCTGTTACGTATGCCAGAGATGATAAACATATCTGGGCAAAGAGATGGGCAAAAATCACAAAATGCAGTGTTATCTTTTCTAAATAGTTTATAAGTGTCTTTTAACACTTTGTAATGTAGATAATGGCTAAATAAATATTGTAATGGACCCTCTGAAATGTTTATATGCATACTGAAAGTTGCCTTCCTTCATTTACTTCAGGTGTAAGAACTAACAATGGGTTTGAAAAATATTGAAATGCCAGATCATTGTTGATTTTCATGTATTATTGAGATCAGGCCAGTCGACATTGAAAAGACATATAATTCCTTGAACATAATTTCTTTTAGCAGTTTCACCTAAGAAAGCATTTCCTTCTCTGCATAGTGAAGGTATGATACTAAATGTATTGCTGGTGGCCTTCTTTACAGAGTGGGTAGAATTCACACCATATGAAGTAGGATTTCCGAAATATGGAGCCTTTGTTCCTGCTGAAAATTTTGGAAGCGAGTTTTTCATGGGGCACATGATGAAGAAACTCCCAGAATCAAGGATCTGTTTTATGCAAGGTGACCTTTTTCTACCTCAAGTGGAAAGGGAGGGGGTTTCCCTTGTTGAAGATACTAATGGTATATCTAGTAGGCACAGTGCAGTGAGTATTAGATTACCATGGTATTTTCATGAGAACTGGATTCACTTTGCAGTCAGATTCTCAGCTGAATACATCTAGTATTATCTTGGAGTAGCTTGGGCCCCCTCCCTCCTGGCTGTTGAGCATTATTCAGAGAACCCAGGGCTCTACCATCATGCAGTATTATGTAAAATGGGAGAAAAAAAATGGCAATTATCTCTCTCTCTCTCTCTCTCTCTCTCTCTCTCTCTCTCTAATCTATCCCTCCATCCCTCCCCAGAATGTGATGATATTTTCAGTGAAATTAAAATAGTAGGGTAGCACTTCATTATTTGATCTTAGCTGTTCCAAGAGAGGCAACAGAAAATACAAAATATAAATACTTCAAAGATAGCTATGGTTGGAATATAGCTTCAGTTCTGTCTGTATTTGTTGAGAGGCTTCTATGTCATGCTGGGATGCAGAGAACAAAACTTCATAGAAGTCTTTTGGAGTGGGTAGCCATAATAAATTTAATTAATAATAACAGTAATACGTACACAATTGTTCTCTGGGGCAATTCATCTAAGAATAGTGCTAGAGGCAATTATTCTCTGAGCTGTAAGTATAACTAGTGGATTAACAGTGAAGAATTCCACTGAATTGGGAGAAAATTTTTAGTTCCAGAATAGGGGTGTCCCTCAGTCAAACCTTTCTGGGTGGCCATGGTTTGAATAAATAGAATCCCAGAACACGTTGGTTGTTCTAGGTTTTGATCAAGGCAAAATCTAGAGGCAAGAAGGGCAAGAAGGGCAAGGTTGGTCCTTCTATGCATGGCTTGTGGGCTGGCCTGTTTGCCAATCTCCATAGTTCCTTTCTTTTCCTACTTCCCCTTAGCTACCACCACATGCTGTTACCACCACTGAATACAAGCACAGTTTATCCAGCAGGGGAGAGGAGGGCAGGTTGGATATGTGGTACTTGATTTCAAGGGTGGCAGCTGAGGTAGGGAAAGAGGATACTGGGAAGGTTGGAGGAGGGGTAGGACAGCTGCTGTCACACATCAGCAATTCAAGCTGACACGTCCAACTGGGCCACTCACCCCTTCCCTTGATCTTTCCAACACTTTCCTTTCCCCACCTACTCTTAGCTGCCACCACAATTAGTGGCCTACCTTTTCCCTATTCTATCCATCCCAAAATACTTTCTGACAATATCATGCACATTCTGGATCCATGCCCAGACCTAATACAAAACATGCATGTTTCAGTGCAAACATGGACTTCCCCAAACTACCTGTTCTATGTACAAACAGTCCATGCACAGAACATTGTTTATGTCCCTGTCCCAACAATAAAATAAAGTTTCAAAAGGAAAATGCTTCAACTTTACTGGTCTCTTCTTTTCAAAGGAATGTGGAGTAGTGTATTTTCCAAGAATCTGTTAGATGCCTGGCATGCGGCAGACAATTCAGAAGATTTTTGGAACAGGTGGACCCAAGATACTCTCACGGAGATTGGTAAGCTATGAAACTTGTTCCAAATTACAAGATGGAAACCAGAATGTAATTGGCTGACACTTTTTACATCTACTGTATTTATCTGTCCTGCCTGTAGAAACTGAAGGACAATTGGGTCCCAGAATTTGGATGACTTTATATCCAGGAGTAGGTATTCAAACCACAAAAGAGGGAAGAAGTATAGTTTGATCTTACTAACTATAATGCATTATTTCACAGTGTTACATATAAACTACTATCAGGACTACTACTAAATTCCCAGCAAAAGATACATTTATTTTATGCAAACTAAATTAATATTAGGGAAAAAAGAGATGACCCTTTTGTAACTCTTCAATGGTCAAGCAGATCTTAGACTGCTATGAACAATTTTTTTATTTGCTTCCTTCTTGCTGCGTTACCTGCTTCTAAATTTTTTTACCTGTAATTTTATATCCATATTACTTTACTTGCATAATATATCTCCCCTTCTTTTCACCTGCATCTTATTTTGAAGTATCTTGGAAATATACAGTAATCTGATTATTTAAACAAATTCTTTTAATAAATACTTCTCTGAAAGAAAAAATTGTCATATGCTACCAGTTAAGAGCGCAAGGCTTATTGATTAATGGTTTCTTGATGCTCCAAAGGGCAAAGCCATTTTTAAATATCTTTTGAAACACATGATATAAGAATACTTTTTCTATACCTTGTTCCTTCTGTATGACACCAGTTCACACCTTCTCCAGCTAGATTTGCTAAAGCTAGAACAGAGCAACTAGCTCTAGCTAAACTCTAAATGTTACCCATCATTATCTTTGCAATATAAAGTTACCGTTTATTATTATGCCTCACAAGTTCAGCATCACGGCTTCAGTTTGGTTCACAAAGCTACTCAGTACTTTTATGAAGCCTTCTCAGGCCTTCATAATTGTGAAGAGTATCCACTCGGTAAATATTCATGCATGGGTGAAAAATTTCAATAACACATATAAATGTAAAATTGCTCTATTCCCAGCCAGCACTGCCAGTTATAAGGGACTCCAGAAATTGTAATGCAAAACATCTGGAGAGAATCTGGTTTTTAATCCATTGTGTAAAAAATACCGAAATAAAATTCAGGAATTCATTATGCAACCTAGGTTTTTATGTGTAGGCCTACTGAAATTTAAATTCACACCTGATGTTTTCTAAAGCAGCATATGTATGCGTGTGTGTGTGTGTGTGTATATATATATATATATACACACACACACACACACACGCACACACACACACATACATACACACACACATATGTAGCCCTTTGGAACATCTTGCCCCCGGAGGTGAGACAGGCCCCCTCACTCCCAGCCTTTCAGAGGGACTTGAAGACCTGGCTCTGCCATCTGGCCTGGGTGGGGGGGGAGGTCATCAGATATAGGGTTGCTAGCCCCCTAGAGGCCTGGTGTTGCTTCCATTGGCCTCCTGGATTTTTCCTTTTCCTTTTATTCTTTGTAAATGTGTCCTCTTATAAATTTTAACTGTATATTTATTTATTGTTTTAATATGTTGTAAGCCACCCAGAGTCCCCCATTGGGGGGGAGATGGGCAGGGACAAGTTTAATAAATAAATAAATAAATAAATATAGATGTACATGAGAAGGAAAAACCCATTCATGCCACCACTCAATTGTTCATTTTTGAGTATCATCTGAACTGCACCATACTAGTACAAGACTCTTATTATTTAAATGAGGTTTATTTCTTTTGTTTGTATTTAGATGAAGTGCCTGGTTTACCAGAGAGACCCCATGAGATGCCAACTCGCATGTTCACTCCTGCAGGAGGTCTTTCCAATGCTCTACGGGATATTTTAACGGATCGTCCAGCAGTGTCCAAGTATCACAATTTTTTAAAAGGGCTCCAAATGCATAATGAATATGTGCAGCATCAACATTTTTCTAAATGGAAAGGTACAACAGCATTCAGTTGTTCTTATGTATTATTAGAAATCCACAATTGTCTAGTTGATTGCATTTTTCTCATTAAAAAGAAAATGTCTTACTATTATTATATTAGGTCACTAGATAACTGAATCTGGGACTCTCTACTCTACCTGTTGTATGGTTTAGGAGATAGATTGGTCCTTAGAGTGGAATGCATGGGAATTATGGAAGTTGAACTTGCTCCATGCAATAGGAAAAAAATTCTTTCCATCTACTCATCTCTAGCAATAGGAGCTGTACTCTGTATTGGGTCAGGAGATTAAAATAATTTGGCCATGGATCCTGATGAGAATGAATTGGGTGTTTAGCAAGTAGATTCATGGTGCGATGGGCATGGGCAAGAAGGAAGTTTGTAAGCATTTGTCTTCACCTTAAAAAATGTCTGGTGATGGCCCATGGGGATTGATTTTACTTTTGAAATGTATGTTATAGATACAGTGCTTGATGAATCCCCTAATCAACTGAAAGATCCTACAGAACATCTGGAACTTGTAGATACAGCTTTCTTCTTTGATACTAGTTGTCCTCCACTTCTCAGACCAGAGAGGAAAGTGGATGTCATTCTGCATTTCAATTATACTGGAGGATCACAAACCAAGGTTAGAAGAGATTATACTGATGTTATTTATTTATTTATTTATTTATTTATTTATTTATTCGGCTTGTATGCTGCCCATCTCCCCC